CCTCTCTCCCAGGGACTTTGTGGGGTCACACAGGGGATTGTCACCAGCTGGGTGTCACCACTCAGGTTTAGAAGGAGCAGTCCAAGGCAGAAAGTGCAGCTCAGGTGATCTTTGTTGGATGTAAATCCGTGCTCACACTGGGATTTCTGCTCCAGAAACCCCCCCTGGGTGTGGATTTTGGGGCTCCCTCAGCTATGTGGCCCCCAAAGCCCTCTGCACTCTGTCCTGTCCTTCTTTAACACATTCCAGTTGTTTTTCTGGAACAGATTGCAGACACTCCTGGAAGTAACTCCTTGTTTTTGCCTTTTCCACCTGCCCCGTGTCAGTGAGGAGCAGTCCAAGGCAATAAGTGCAGCTCAGGTGATCTTTAGTGGATGTAAATCCATGCTCACACTGGGGTTTCTGTAGGATTTCTGCTCCAGAACCGCTCCCAGTTGTGGATTTTGGGGCTCCCTCAGCTATGTGGCCCCCAAAGCCCTCTACACCCTGTTTTTTCCTTCTTTAACACATTCCAGTTGTTTTTCTGGAACAGATTGCAGACACTCCTGGAAATAACTCCTTGTTATTGCCTTTTCCCCCTGCCCCGTGTCAGTGGGGTGAGGTGCAGAGCCCTCTGTTCCCTTAGGAGCTGTTTTCCCTCGTGTAAATGAATTCCTGGAGAGGCAGCTCCTTCTCCCACAGACAGATCCCTTCCTTGCCAGCCGCTCTCCAGCAGCAGATGATGGATCTGCAGAGCAGCCTTGGAGGTGACAGAGTCCTGTTGTTTGTGTTTTCCGTGGATGCACGTGGGATACGTGTCCTAAATTAAAATAATTTGTGGTCTGAAGCACGCACAGCAGCAGTTGGGTTTGGCTTCTCAAGATAAATTTGGATAACGCAGCCCTTCATCTGCAGAGTCATCAACCGACTCGTTAATTGGATTCTCATCCAATTAGCAGGAGAGGGGTGGGAGAGGTGCAGGAAGAGCCGGGGCTGAGCTCTCCTGGTGTTACCTGGTGCAGCCTGGCAGGGTCACCTGGCTGCTGGGTTATTTGTGTGTGAGTGGACAAGGTCCAGCTGCTCTGCATCCTGCCTGTCTGTGGAGCTGCAACAAAATTCCATGGAATAGCCAGGGAATGGTTCATGTCACAGCTCTGGGTGTTCCCCACCTGCCTTGGCACACTCTGAACACACAAATATTCCTGCAGCGGATCCTTCGGGAATCGTGGGGCTGTTGGGAATCCCTTCCCTAAAACCTGCTAAACCCAGTGCTGAGGTCAGGAATATTTCAGGAGACGCCTGTTTATTGGGATGAAATCCCATCAGAGCAGAGGTCAGGGGTGGACGCCCTGTTTGGGAACCTTCCAGTCACAAATTAATTAATTTAGATCCAGAAGGTCACATGAGGCTCATCACTCTGGTCCTTCCATTGATTTGTTATCCAAATAATTACAATATTTTAAAAAGGGAGTTAAAGAGAGGACTTGCTAGTTCTGCTCTGGTTAACGAGGTGCTGATGGGTCAAATGTTGGACTCGATGATCTTGGAGGTCTTTTCCAATCTTCCTCATCCCACTCTCAGTTGGACTTGCTGGTGGGAGAACATCCTGGTGTTAATTACCTTAATGGAGTGCTCTAATCCCTCATTTTTTAACGTTTTAAGATCAGAAGGGTTTTTAAAACCCAATCCTGCCTTAAACAGTTGTCCAAATAATTAACCCAGAGCTGGCGTTCCTGACAGAAAACTCTCACATTGCCACATAACCAAACCTCAGAGCGCATCCCTGTGGCAGCAGCAGGAGCCTGAGCAGAGCCTGGATTTGCTCCTGGTGTTTTTCTGACAGCCCTTTTGCCCCTCTGGCAGCAGCTGTGGTGTCAGGGCTGGGATTTGGCCGGGATTCCCGTGGCAGAGGTTTCCCACGGAACGTTCCTCTGCGGCTGCACCTCGGCGGCTGAGGTTTCTCGCTGGGCTTTTTATAAAAATCCCGTGACTTGGGCTCAACAACAACAACAAAAACAGCCACCCGTGGGTCACAGATGGGCTTGGTGGCCAAGGAAGCCAAAATCCCAGGTGGGAGTGGGGGTTTGGGACGTGTTGGTGCTTGGGGAGGCTGAGGGAATGTGTGCAGTCAAGCACGTTGGCCTCAGGTATTCCTGGCAGAGCTGATGTTGCCAAAACTTGAGGCCTTTGGAAGGAACCAACCAAATGTTGTGTAAAAGGTGGGCAAACAGCAGCTGGGAAGTGCTGCTGGGGCAGGAGGGATGGTGTAGGGATACGGGAATTGGAATTTCTGTGCTGGGAAGTCACTGTAGGGATGTGGGAGCAGGAGTCTCTGCAGTGGGAAATCAGTTTGGAAGGTCAGGTTCGTGGAGTCATGGAATTCTGGAATGGTTTGGGTGGGAAGGGACATTAAACCCATCCAGTGTCACCCCTGCCATGGGCAGGGACACCTGCCACTGTCCCACATTGCTCCAAGCCCTGTCCAGCCTGGCCTGGGACACTCCCAGGGATTTGGGGACAGACAGCTCCTCTGGGAATTCCATCCCAGCCCCTCAACACCCTCATTCCATCCCAGTATCTCATCCCACCCAGCCCTCCGGCAGTGGGAAGCCATTCCCCCTTTTCCTATCGCTTCATCCCTGCTCCCAGACCCCTTTCCAGGTTCCAGGGTGTCCAACATCCGTGTCCATGCCTGTGTTTGACCCTCAGGTACGTGGGGAACCTCTCCAGGGACGTGACCGAGGCTCTGATCCTCCAGCTGTTCAGCCAGATCGGACCCTGCAAGAACTGCAAGATGATCATGGATGTAAGAGCCTGAATCCTCTGATTTCCCTGTTCCTCAGAGCTGCTGACCCCAGGCTGTGCTTGTGGCTCTGGGAATTCCTCTGGAAACAGGCCACAAACACCTTAAATACATCTGGACATACACTCAAATGTTTTTGGCATCGTTTCTGCACGTGCCAGGTGGTTAATTTAAGGACGGGTGGACATGGAGAGGAACAATGAACTCATTAGATCATGAGGGGGGTGCAAATGAGGTTTTAAAAACTCTTTACTGTAATTTTTTACACTTTCTAAAGCTTTCTTTGAAAGCTCTGGGAGCATTGTTAGTCCCTGTAGAGTCAGGAAACCTGTCCACATGGGGCCAATAAACTCATTAAGTCATGAGAGGATTGCAAATGAGGTTTTAAAAATTCTTTACCATAATTTTACCTTTCAAAGCAGAATTGAAAGTTCTGGGAGCGTTGTTGGTCCCTGTAGAGTCAGAAATCCTATCTGTGTGGGGCTGTTGAGGTGTCAGAGGCTGAGCAGAGCAGCCAGAGTCCGGGTTTGTGTCCCTAATCCCGGGTTTGTATCCCTAATCCCGGGCTCATTTCCTGTCTCAGACAGCTGGCAATGATCCCTACTGCTTCGTGGAGTTCTACGAGCACCGGCACGCGGCCGCGGCCCTGGCTGCCATGAACGGCAGGAAGATAATGGGTAAGGTAAGCTGCTGTGCTCTGGGGTGAGTCTGGGGGGAACAGGATGTGCCAGGGGAAATCCTGCTGGGAAAGGATGTCCTGAGTCTGGGGGGAACAGGATGTGCCAGGGGAAATCCTGCTGGGAAAGGAGGGGATGTGCTGCAAATGCCAGACTCTGGCTTTGGGGTGGAGATCTTAGTGGGGTACAACTCAGAAGGGGAGTTCAGAGTGTTGGGAGGAGGAGTTCAGGTCATGGAGAGGAGAAGTTCAGAGCTTTGGGAGGAGTTCAGAGCATGGAGAGGAGAAGTTCAGAGCATGGAGAGGAGTTCAGAGCATGGAGAGGAGTTCAGAGCATGGAGAGGAAGAGTTCAGAGCATGGAGAAGAGTTCAGAGCATGGAGAGGAGAAGTTCAGAACATGGAGAGGAGGAGTTCAGTGTTGGGAGAAGTTCAGAGCAAGGAGAGGAGGAGTTCAGTGTTTTGGGAGGAACTTGGAGCTGAGGATGTGGAACTGGGAGAAAAATCCCAGAATTGCAGAGTGGTTGGAGGGCCCCTCTGGAGACCATCCTGTGCCGTTCATTCAGAGCAGGGTGCACAGGGTAGTGTCCAGGCAGGGTTCTGATGTCTGCTGAGGAGAT